AAGGCATCGAGTTCACTCACAGGAATGTAATGAGAGCTGACTGTGCCATACTCCCACATGAAGTGGAGCTTATGTGGAGTCTGGGAGATTTGTGTCCAGCTCTTGATACTCACCTGACTCTTTGCTGTGGATTAGACCATCTGTTTTGTAGAAGGGACTGCATGCACAGTAAGAACCCTGTGTCTGGAGAGCTGCAACCAAGCCATTATTTCCCATCAACACCCACTGGTCATTCACAGCCAGCAGCTAATCAGCTCCTCAGAAGATTTTACTCTCTCTCACTGAAATGTATCACTTCAATCCAAGCTGAAAGAACTGCATTTTCCCCTTTAAAGAGAGAATGAACAGGGTTAGGTCATTGATAAATCTCAGATTTATTCCTATAACAGAATCAGAAAACAAGGACATTGTCACTGAGGGACTATAGATTACATATTCACTCAGGTATATTCCACCGGAGGGCACTGCTGTTCAGATATCTGTCATTCGCAATAAATAATTTTAGCAAGCAAATTTAGCCTCAATCTAATAAAGCACCTGCTTCTGTTTAATTTTAAGTGGCAGAATATTCGTGCACCTACATTAAGCCTATGTTCAACTGCTTAACTGAATTGCAGCAGCATTGTATATTTAAATTTCAGGGAAAAAAAGAGCTTCATACAGTGTTGATTAGATGACTCATTGTAGTTTCATCTGGATTTTGTTTCAGCTTGCTCTGCTCACATTCCTGAACAGAGTAAACAGTAAGCAGGGTTAAACACAGACCTTTAAGACATCATCCTCCTAGAATCATAGCGTCGTTAAAATTGAAAAAGACGTCCAAGGTCATCAAGTCCAACCTTTGACAAAACACCACCATACCAACTAAACCACAGCACTGAGTGCTATGTCCAGTTGTTTCTTGAACACCTCCAGGGCTGTTGATTTCACCACCTCCCTGAGCAGCCCTTTCCATTGTCTAACCACCCCTTCAGTGAAAAAATTCTGTCTGATATCCAACTAAACCTCCCCTGGTGCAGATTGAGGCCATTTCCTCCTGTCCTGTCTCTTGTTGCCTGGGAAAAAAGACTGATCCCCACCTGGCTACAACCTCGTTTCAGGTAGTTGTAGAGACAGATAAGGTCCCCCCTGAGCCTCGTTTTCTCCACGCTAAACAACCCCAGCTCCCTCAGATACTACTCCTCAGATTAGTGCTGCAGACCCTTCCCAGCTCCATTGCCCTTCTCTGGACACACTCCAGCACCTCAGTCTTTCTGGTAGTGAGGAGCCCAAAACTGAATGCAGGATTTGAGGTGTGGTCTCACCAGTGGTGAGTGCAGGGGGATGATCACTGCCCTGGTCCTGGTGGCCACACTATTTTTTATACCGACCAGGATTCTTGGCCACCTGGACACACTGCCAGCTCATGTTCAGCACATTCCTTGGTTTGAAAGCATAAACCCAGAAAGATGATATTCCCTCAGCACCAACACAACATCTTGACCATTGAATGACATATCAGGCATCACACTGCACAGCCTGATCTGTTTTCTAAAATCCCTTATTCTTATAGACAGTATTTAGATTTTATTTTTTTTTCCAGTGTTTTATGCTGTAGACTTTCCTTATTTTTAAACCAGGTTTTACCCATAGGATGGGAATTGCCTGACCAAGGAAAGTTGCTGCATGTTTCTTGCTAGAGGCAACATCAAGCCCAACATTTCTTGGCCTTGCATATTTGCAGACCATCTGTGGAAACTCTGTTGGTCATGAACTCTGCATTTGAAGCCTCGTGACAGATTAGTTACTGAATATGCAGTGACTCAATAAAAAACATAGAGAACTACAAGGAGAATGGGAAGGCTTCATGGTAAATGGCTCAGGATCTCAATGTTTACTCAAACTCCCTTGTTAAAGCATCCAGCAAATCTTACCCTAAATATTAATTCAAATGTGTTTAGTGGATTTGTGTTCTAATGGTGAGAAAAAAATAATTCTATGTGCTGTATTAGCCATGTCAGGAAAAATTATAAAGGAAATTTCTTTAACTTTGTAGTGTCATAAAGCAGGAGACAGCAAAACTAACTGGGGAAACAGAGAGGTAGCAAAAAGTTAATAGAGGACCTCTCTAAATATCATAGATATTAAAAATTAGTTGGGGAGTACAAAGTTAATAAAAAACTTGAACATTCTTGGTTTTCTTTTGTCTATTCAGTTGATATGAAACCAACACAACTGAGTACTGAAAGAGCAAAACATACAACCCACAAACAGCCCCAAAACTCTTTTATATTATCCAAGTCTATAACACTAAAAAAAAAAAAAAAAAAAAGA